TTTTTTTTTTTTTTTTTTTTTTTTTTTTTATAGAGAAAATGTAATGTGAGCTAATTGGGATTGTAGCTTGGATGGTTGGACATTAATGACTATCTTTTCGAGTCGTAGGTTTGTAACGTTCACTTATTTGTAACGTAGTACTCTAAAGATAAATTACTTCCTATAGGTTAGTTTTATGGTAATGGGTTAAATACAATAGGTAAAATTTAGGTTTAATGTTGTTGTAAATGTTAGTTTACTCAATGGATAAGACATCAGTTATAATTCTAAAAGTCACGCTTTAATCCATTCATTCATACGATGATTATTGAACTTGAAAATAAAAGAGTTAATTTTTTAGACGATTAGTGAATGAATTATTACTAAAATACTGAATCATCTCTGTCAAGTTTAGATAAAATTATATGTATTAAATAGATTTAAATGCTTTAACCTCGATGTTGTTGAACAAAAAATCATTATCAAGTGCCATAAATTTATACTTGATATATCGACATCTACGTTCCCAATGACTTTATTGCTCCAACTAATCAAATCTTGAAAGACTTTCAAAAGTCCAAAACAGAGTGTTATTGGCTGCAATGGAGGACAAGCACAACTGGACATGCCTATTCCCAATAAGAGAAGCCATTTCTTTATGAAAAAAATAAAATAAATTTGACTTTAATCTAAAAATATATATTAAGTGTTTTAAATTAAAAATATATTTAAATTAATAAGTTATAGAGAAGGTAATATTGCTGCATACATTGTTTGGAGTAATTAGGGAATATTTTGGGGATTTTGATTTTTGGGAATTGTTTTTATCTTCAATAATTTTTTTGATAACCTTTATAATGTCAATTAAAAGGAATTCGATCATGATTTATAAAAATAATTTTTATGAATTATTTTGAAAATAAATTATCAAAGAGCGCGTTAGTATATGAATAATTCTAATTTTGGAGAGGTAATTTGAATTTTCATATTATTTATAAACTAAATTTCAATAAAGTAATTAAAACATAATATTTCCTCAAATTTAAAAAGTGAAGGAAAAAAAACCTTAAAAAGATGGATCATTAAATTGTATATAGTGAGTTTAGGATATCATGCCTAATAATAATTATGTTAAATGCTTTTTTTTTTTTTCTTTAAGGAACATAATTATGTTAAATATTGAACATGAAATAAAGTATTTCCCACATTTATTAATGCACACCAAACATATTCATAGAAAAATATAGGTTGGAATTGAAGACAAAACAAAAGGTGGACTTCCACTAACTTGCACGTCTAGCCCCATTTATTAATTATTTGACTTTAATTTTAGAATGTTAAAATAATTAAGGTAAATTAAAATAATTCTGATAAGTAATTAATTATAAGAATTAGGATATTTGATAGAATATTTAAATATATTTTGAGATAAAATATTATTCTAAATATTTAGAATGTGTTTGAGTCGTTCCCAAACGTGTCTTAAAATATCTTACCTAAATTCTAGAATTACCCTTCAATCTCCACAAATTTGGTATTTTCAAGGTCGTGAAAGTGAAGGTTAAATTCGTAAATTCAACCTGTGGTTAAAGATGGACCAAAAAAGACGGCCCAAGATCGGATAATAGTATGAAAAGACTGGCCCAATAATAAAATCAAAACTTGTACATTGAAGCCCAAGCTGGGATATTGCAGAAAAGGAATGGCCCAAGTATAAAGCCCAAATTTGTATATTAAAGCCCGTGGTTAAAGATGGTCCTTATATGGCCCAAGATGAGATTAGTGTAGAAAAATAACAGCCCAAACCCCGAGGTATTAATGGACCAAAAAAAATAAGGGAATTGTGACTAATAGCTTAAAAATAGCCAAAAGACAAAAATGAATTCAATATGGTGGGAGTAAATACTTTTTCTTTCTATTTATACCATGGATATAAACAAATATTTACCCTAAGTCTTTAATAAAAAAGATTAAAAAAAAATCTAAAGAAATAGATTCGATTTTTCATCATTTTTTTTTTAAGGGGATACCATTTGCAATTTGTCAACTATTTATATATATATTAATCATCAAGAAATCATAGTCACAGCGGCTAACGAACACGAAGCAAAAATTACAAAGAAGCCCGACCATTCTCAGTTCTACAAGAACCAACACTTTATAACACCAACATGAAAACTATTTTTTTAAAAATTCAATCATTAAATTATATTAATTCCAAGTGATCATAGTTTTCATAGATGTTACAAACATGAAGTCTAGCTAAATGATAATTGCAATGAAATTTTCAAATTTGAAGATTCTAACTTGAAATTGAATGTCATCCGAAGGGCAAGAGAAGAAGCGGTGAAATTTTTAATGCATTTATGAGAGGCAGCAAAAGTAATATATATAATATGTAAACCCTTCACTATGCCTTAGTTTCCAAGAATCATGTGAATGCACTTAAACATAGAGCTCCTTCAATTAATTATATATAATAAATTGCTTTTTAAAAAGTAATTAATGTGCTCACTCAAATTCATAAAATCTATACTTTATTATTATTATTTTTTTTAATGTTACTGTTAACTTCAAATTAACATTAAAGACTAATTATAAGTAAAATCATATTTTAACCTAGTAATCTTCACCATTCCTTCTATTTCTGAGTTAAAATAGAGATACCAGTCAAAATTTCAAAAAAAAAAAAATCTATGATTAAATATTTAAAACAAGCTCTCGAAAAAATCCTCTAAAAACCAACTCTAATCACATGATTAGAGGGGGAAGGTTTCCTTATTTAATAAGCACATGTGAGAGGAATTGAATTCTTGATTAGCAATTCTCTTGGTGAGATCTCACATCACTGATTGAAGATGAGAACTTAATTTTCTTTAAAATGGTGTGAAAACCTCTCCATGTCTTTTAAAACTGTGAAGCTGACGGCAATATATAACAGACGAAGCTGGCAATATTTGTAAGCGATAGACTTAGGCTATTACACCAGGTTTAGGTTTAAGGAGAGGAAACCATAAAACTATTAGTTTTCTAGTTTGAGTTTCGAAAGTAATTGTTGGCTAAAAATGTGCCAAACATTTTAAGACAGATATGAAAGATATAGCAATGCAATGAATAAATCCAACCAACATGACTTAAAGAAGTTTCCCTTAAGAGAAGATTCAGCTTTTTCTTGCTTTTACTGATAACAGGCTTTTCTTCAACAGTATTTTGGAAATAGGTAGGACCCAAACAAGAGCAGCATTAATGACAGTTTCAAGTTTCTCTAAGAATATGTGGTTTGGTTTCATAGGATCCTCACAAAACCAAAGGGAAAAAGCTCCAGAGCTCACTCTTCTTTCTTTGTCCATAAGTCAAAGCAATCAACTGCTCTGCTTTGATTCGTTTCTTTGGATTCAGCGCTCTGTTTTGAAGGTAACATCTCTGTCAAACTTCTTTCAGGTATCGACCCGTCTTTGTTTATTGGATTCAGCACTCTGATAGAAGATATACGTCTTAGCTACGCTTAGAATAAGCTTATATGCCTTTAATTGCCTTCACCTTTTCGGTTTTTGTTTTTTAGTCCCATATCTCTGTTCCCTTTTGCCTATGGGTTTGGATGAGTGGAGATGAGATAATGACCACCATTCATTTTCCCGGATTTTGTCCTTTGTACAGAACCAAACAGGTCAAAACTTTCTCTGAGGCTGAAACTATTATATGATATCCAAAACCATGCAAGAGTTATGTAGGAATTGTAGGAAATGGTTTGTGGAATATCAGTAGAGTTAGCTGCTGATTATGCTCTGCCAATGTATATGAGATCTCAATCAATAAGATATGCCTCAGGACAGTCTAAGATCAAGAATTTACCGATCATTTATAACTTGTAACGATCCGAAAGGCATAGTTGATAAAACCACTGTCAGAATAAAGAAAGTTGTTCTATCAGAAATGGATAAGAAAACCAAAAGCCGGACAGCTAGGAAGAACTTTTACGAATTTTCGGGCTGTAAGTTACCAAGAGAGGAAACAACCATCAAAGAAGTTGTGGATGAATTGAGCAGTTCATCATCATCACAACTCATGGAAGTGTCCAGAGAAGCTCAGAAGCTGAACCGGACAATTGTTTTGTGGTCCAATGGTATGAAATATAATAGCCAATCTGAACAAATTGCAAGAGATTTGTTTGAAGGAGCTATTGATTTGCAGCAGTCCTTGGTCATTCTAGGGAAATTGCAGGAAGCTTCAAGGTACATGACTCAGGTGAAGAAAAATGAATGCATAGAAAAGAGGACAAGTGGAAACATGGGCATGGAGAGAACATGTTTCAACCGAAATGAATTTCATAAACCCCAGCTTTCGTTTGATTATTCTTATGGAGATGGTGCCAAGGAACTCAAGAAGACGATCCGAGATCGCCTCGCAAGACAACTCCTATTTTCAAGTACGACGAATATGGCCGAACGAATCGGTTTTCCTGAAAGTGGTATGGAAAACTCAGCTTCAGATTTCGCATCCACAAGCTCTGGACAATCTTCAATGGTGTATAAAACTGCTCGAAATCCCGCAAAGAAGGGTCATGGAAAAAATCTGAGAGCAAAGAAAATGGATCTAGAACTTCAACCAAAGCAAATGCATGAAACTTTAGGCAGACATTTACCTAGAGAAAAGATTTTAGATCTCCAGAGGTCTAAGTTTAGCAACGAAATGGTCGAGACAAAGAAGTCGAAGGCAGTTAGACACAAGATAGGGAAGAGAACCACAGAGTTAAATCTTGACACTCATCAATTCAAAGGCATTCTTAAGCATTCTGCAAAGGAAGTGGATGACTATTTCAATTATTCCAGCTACAGCCATTCAAGAGAAGAGTTAACCCATACTGCCCCGCCAATTGTACTTCTAAAACCTCTGCGTGTTTCACAAGCTGAATGGGAGGAACGACAAGCACGGGTTTTTGAAGAAGACGAAGCTTTGAACAAAAAAAAGTTCATGAAACTGAAGATGAAAGAAAAGCATCCTCAGCAAAGGAATGGCAATAAATCAGAAGTATTAAGTTCCAAAAGAGTGATTGGGTCAATAGGGGCAGAAGAGACTGCAATCTCAAGGATATTTCACAGAAAAGAAGCTCAAAACCCAAAAGAAGATAATAGGAATCCAAAAGAATGTATCAATGCCATCAAGCCCAAAAAAAGGATTTCACATAGTCCACCCGATCAAAATCTCCAGAGGAAAGAAGCAATTGATAGGAAAGTTCTTGAATCACAGAAAGAGATTGTAGCTAGAAAAAATCCACTTTCGCAATCTAAGATTGTACCAAAGTTTCAAGATCAAGTGCAGGGATCCCTTAGCAAACTTCAACGTAAACTAAATGCTACAAGGGAACATGTCCCTCAGGACTCGACTCCTACTTCAAACACTGCCTTTGAGTGCAGCCGATTCAGCACGAATCATGCAATTGCAGAAAAGGTCATCAACGAGGTTTCGGTACAGAAACCAGAGGTAAGTCCAAAAACTATTTATAGAGTTTCTTATATTCCCATGCTTTCATATGCCTTTTCCTGTTTCCTGTTCTTATTTTGGAAGAAGGTACTGCAGCATGAATGCAGAAATTGATTAGTTACAAGTTCTGAAAATTTGATTGGAGATGAGTACAAGAATTTCGGCATGGGAAATCAAAACTAATGAAAATTTCTTTCTGCAGGCCATTAACTTTGGTGGCAAAAGCAATGTTAAGAAGCCTGATAAAACATCTTCTCCAGCTTCTTTACCAAATATGAAGGAAAAAGCCGGTAGCTCCAGACATCAAACATGTGGTAAATCTCCAAAGTAATATAACTAGAACAGTCAGAGCAGAAAACTCATAGTTTGCTATGATTACAAATGCAAGTCAAACTAAGATCTGCATTAAAATCTCAGAATATTTTAATTTATATGAACTTAAAGCATTTAGGATATGAAAACTTCTGGTTTCAAAATGATCCAAAAGTATCTACAACTACAGTAACTAATAAATGTCATCGAAATTAGCATGGAAAAAACTCAATGGGCTTATTGATAGGATTTAGACAATCTAGAACTAGCATAGCTAATATTGAGAGTAGAAATAATATATATATATCTATAGATATATAAACATCATATTGTAACATTTTAATCCTGTGTCATCCGAAATAAATTCTAATAATGCATACAACTTGCAACATTTATTGTTTTTGTTAATAATAGAGAGAAGAAAGTCTTTGTTGATGCAGGAATAAAACAACAAATAATTATGTCGATGACACAGAAAATATAATCATCCGAATTTTCAGACAACAACATATAATTGAGGCTTAAATTCTAAATCAAGAAGGATGAAGTTGTTCAGTCCTATCTAGATATTTTTAATCAGCTGCTGTTTTTCTGTCTATTCTCAGTATCTGAGACGTGATATAATTTTACGCATGCTTTCTTTGTTAAGATCAAAATTTTCATGAATTCTTTCCACGTTACAGAGTACAGTAGTGATAGTCAAAGCTCTCTCATTCACGCATGCTGCACAACAGAAAGCTCGAAGTACATAGAAAATGAAAGATCAGTTACCAAACCTGGAACTACACCGAAATGTCCGATGTCGAGCAATCCGCCGCCTTCCAATCGCGCGAATGAGCTCTTCCGTCTTAATGCCAATGGTATGAACATTCTGCATTAATTTTGCAACCATAAACTTACTCTGACTAGTTTTATTTCGCCTGACCAACAAATTAAAAAAATCAATGAAGATTAGTCGGTTGTTTGCTTACATTAAATGCAGGGAGCTCGAGATTGTGGATCTTGCCGGAGGAATCGCCGCCGACTGCCAGTGACGGCATGGAATCTTTAAGAAATTACAGAAAAATCAATTCAGTAACAAACGGAATTTTAGGCTTGCGCTGGTGGTGGCCGATTCGAGAATCAATGAATGAGGCAGAAGATGTTGTTGAAGATGTGGAAGAGAGGATATTGGTTGGATTGATTCAGGAGGTCTTCGCCTGATCATTTGTTCTTCATCTTCCACTTTTTTCTTTTCTTTTCTTTTCTTTTCTTTTTTTTCAATTTTGAGATATTTATATCAAATTATATAATAAAATGTTGTATTTTTTGCCCCAAATTTCTTGTATTTATTTTAATATTTAATGTTAAAATCTTTATTGCATGATTTTGTACGGTTGGTGGTCTAGTCTCACAGTTTTTTTTATAAATTTTCATACCTTTATTTCACTCTCCAACCAATATGGAATTTCACAATCCATTTCCACTGGGCCTAGCGTCCTCGTTGGCACACTGCAATGAATGCTTCATTCTCCTCTCCAACTAATTTATGATCTCACAATTCACTCCTTTGGGGGCAACGTTCTCGTTGGCATATCGCTCATGTTTTGTTTCTGATATCATTTGTAACCGCCCAAGTCCACTGCTAACAGATATTGTATGTTTTGGCTCGTTACGTATCGCCATCAGCCTCACAGTTGTACACACGTGTATGTTAGGAAGAGATTTTCATATCCTTACAAGAAATGTTTCATCCAACTAATGTGAGATCTCACACTAGTAGAACATGAAATGATACGTAAGTGTTCACTATGGCTCGAATTCATTATTTTTAAGTCCTCTATTTTTTATATGTTCGTATTTTACCTTTAGGTCAATCTACGATGGTTCGGGACGGTCAATTATTAAAGACTGAGCAGTGTAGACTCATTCTACTGAAACACACCTCTACTCAAGTATTTTCAAGCTAATGGGTTCATCACATGACTTGATCTCTTTGCTTTTCTATTAGCTTACATAACTATAAAGTGGAATTCAAGTCGGTACGGTTCCTTTAAGAAGGGTGTAATACCCCTACTAAAAGGCGAGTGCTGGAATGAGAAGGCTCTCGAGATGGATATCTACGATAGATCCGATCAGTCTTATGATGAAAGAACTGGACGATTCTATTTGCGACCCGACAATAGTTTATTGGACTATTCAATTAGTTAAATATTTGAATGGTAACTTTATTTTGTGAGTATGTTTTTATTTATTATTAACTTATTTATCATTTTTTAAATTTAAATAGGAGGAAATATTAGTTTCACTTGAATTAAAAGTTTAAAATTGAAATAAAATTTTATTTTATTTATTAAATATGTTCACTAATATTTGTTTTATTTTATTATTTTTTGGTAAATAGAGGTTGAAATCAAGGGTGTACAAGTGGAGACATCTCATTGTAAACTGCAATATTGATAAATATTGATATTTATTTAGAAAGAAAATGAATTTAATTTATTTTAATTTAATTTAAGCTATTTTCTTTTCTTCAAAGGAGGAGAGAAATTAATTGACAGCTGACACAAACTACTTCTGGACAGCTGAATTCTGTTCCCAAACATCAACAACTGAGCAAATTACAAATCCAGCAATGCCAATTCGTTCTTCCATCAAGGATTTTTCCACTGTTTGTTACAATTTGATTCAATTCTTGAATCCCACTTTCCACTTCATTCATTCAATTTGATTCCAAGTTTCGAATCCGAAAAGGCTACAGGATTAACAAGCAACCAATATTGTGGAAGAAGATCTCGAAAAGTTCTTGTCCATCTGCAAATTTCCTTTCTGTAGCTTAATCTCCTGTTCTGACACTGTTCATAGCGCTTTTTGGAGGGGAATAGGGTTAGGGTTTCTGAAAATAAGGGTGTTGCTCTGCTAGTGTGGTGGTCATGGATGAAGAGAAATCGGCTATTGCCATGACGAGCAGAGATCGGGAGCTTCTCATTCCGGTTGCGGAGTCCGCCATTGATGAGTCATCCTCAAAACCTTCGTCATCCTCGTCATCGTCTCATCATTCTGGCAGAGAGGTATGATTTAGGCTCGCTTTGCTTTGATTATAACTGGTGATTTGATTCGCCGAGAACGTTGAGTCTACGATTCTGTAAATTTTCTGTGGATTTTTCTAGTGTCAGAGTGAAGCATATGCATGCTTTTTCACACAATTTGCCGGTCGTACTAATTCTTGGCCGATTCAATTAAGAATTTGGTGTATTTTTCTTGCCCTAGAACCTGGTTTGGAGAATTTGATTGATGTTGGTTCTATTTGAATTCGTTGCAGCAATTGAATATTTGAAATTAACATTAGCTTTCCCCATGTTCTTCGTAATTGGAATATTCGTTAGGCTAATTCGAGTCTATTTGATTTTATTCTTTCTCGTGGCATTGGATTTTCCTTTCTTATAATCTTCCTGATCAGTCTATTTAATATTGCTTTTAGACATTTTACAAGGTTGTTAGAAGCTGGGCCTCAAAGAAGTTCATGACTGGATGGTGAGCTCTTCTTTCTCTTTGATCGATTTCCATGTTCGGTATCTCGATATGTATTGAACAGGATCATCCCATGTATTGCATACATTTCGACTGTCTGTTAGATATCCTTGAAAACAGTTTTCTGGGCATGTCATTTCATTGTTTTTATACCTCTGTCATAACTCACACTATAGCATTATGATGGTATGCAGCCATATTATCAGTTGATGAACGTAATCGTCTCAGTATAATTTATTTTACTAATTTTTCATGTACCTTACCTGGTTTTTAACCAAACTAATATTCCTACTATTTGGTTGTTGGTTGATTCTTTAAACAATTTAATGCCTTAGAAATTGGATTTTGGTACTATTTAGTTTATGCTTTCCAAATTTCTGGTTACAAGTTATAGTATACTGTGCTTTAGGAGTTGATCAAGTGTAATGATACTCTTTTGAATAATTGAAGGCATAAGAGGGAGGATCTCCATGTTTCTGGAAAATTATAACATTTAGAATGCATTATGTGAGATTCCACCTCGGTTGGGAAGGAAAACTAAACATTATTTATAAGGGTGTGAAATTTCTCCCTAGCAAACGCGTTTTAAAAACCTTGAGGGGAAGCCCGAAAGGGAAAGCCCAAAGAATACAATATCTACTAGCGGTGGACTTGGGCCGTTACAATGGTATCAGAGCTAGACACCGGGCGATGAGGCTGAGCCCTGAAGGGGGGTGGACATGAGGTGTCGTGTCAACACAGACGTTGGACCCCGAAGGGGGTGGATTGGGGAGTCCCACTTCTCTCGGAGAAGGGAACGAGTGCCAGCAAGGATGCTGGGCCCTGAAAGAGGGTGGATTGTGAGATCCCACATTGGTTGAGGAGGAGAATGAAGTATTCTGTAGGGTGTGAAAACCTCTCCCTAGCAGACGCGTTTTAAAAATCTTGAGGGGAAACCCGAATGGGAAAGCCCAAAGAGGACAATATCTGCTAACAGTGGACTTGGGCCGTTACACATTATGTGTTGGTTAGTGGAGAGAACATGAGCCATTTCTCATTAATTCCCTCTTTGCCTTATCTCAATTGGCAGTGCAAAGAATATCTGCCTTTCGACAATCTTAATGCCCTGTAGAGGTTTACCTTGTTTATTGTTTATTAACTAATGTTACCTTAAGTCTTATAATAAATGTTTTAGTGGTGCGCTGTTTAATGACTAAATTGTGTCTATAGACATTGAATGATTGGTTAGTTCTATTACTGATTCGTTAATTAAATTTTATGCCAAAATCTTGCTCTTGATAATGGTAGTGGAAATGAATGGTCATTTCTAGTACTGCTTTAGTTTCTAGTTATTGCTTGCGATTTCAACTAATCATGCCTAGTTCCAACTTCTTTCCACTTTTTCATCCTGCCTAGAACACTCTGTAGTTTAAATATTGTTGTATTCTACTGTTTATTTCTGTATGAAATTTGCTACATTGTTCTATAACAAAATGCTTTCTGCAGTGTCATCCTGTTCCCCTTAGCAATTACATTCTATGTAACGTGGTGGTTTATTCGTTTTGTGGATGGATTCTTCTCTCCAATCTATGCACATCTTGGAATTAATATCTTTGGTAAGCCATTATTTCATCTTTTCTTCTCCTGTTTTCCTCTGGTATTTATTTTACATGTTATGTACACTAACTTGTGGTGGGTTGCACTTCGTGTCTGGAGATTTTCCCTTGCTGGTTTCTTTCCTCGCACACCGTAGAGGATAATTAGTGCAGTCCATTTGTCACATTGTGCTTGACAGATTAGATTCTTAGCTTGCTGATTGACTATGATTATTTGGTTAATCTTGCAAATATTCCTAACAAGTAACTAGTACTCTTGAGATGTGATATTCTTTTGTCATTTTTTTCATAATGTGTTCGGTTTTACTCTGCTGATAGCCTTTGTGGTAAGAGTTAGGGATGTTTTGAGATGTTTTTCAAGGTCCTAGGTTCAAGCCCCTCTGTAGAAAGCTTAATTTAAAACCTTTGTTGTCTATTGGAGCTAATCTTCGGGTGGGCAAAGCCTTTATGGAGATGGGTCAGGGCAGATTATGAGCACAATAACAGGAGTGAGCCCCCAACTCCCCAATGATTGGAAAACCATGTTAAGATGTTAGGAATTAAACTGAATTTTTGTATCAGATACATCTCAGGAGATGACTGCAATCCTTGACCCTTCTCGTTCGCAACAAATCACAAATTAACATAATATTTAAGATACGTTGATGGATTCATGAACATGTAAAATGACTGCTTTCTGATTCTTTCATGTTTTCATGAATTATAGGACTTGATCTCCTCGAGACGCGCGTCATTAGTATTATATGTTTCTTTTGATTCAAGTTGTCTTAACCGTGTTTTTTTTTTTTTTTCGCTTTTCCTATCTTCAATAGGTCTTGGATTTGTGACTTCCATTACATTCATCTTCGTGGTTGGTGTGTTTATGTCATCTTGGTTGGGAGCATCTGTTCTTGGTCTTGGGGAGTGGTTTATCAAGAGGATGCCATTTGTCCGTCATATCTACAATGCTTCTAAGCAAATTAGTTCTGCAATATCATCTGGTGGGTCCTGATTATTTTTCATTGCTCTTATTTGGCTGCTTGCGTTCTATTAGCTAATTATTGTATTTTTACTATCAGACCAAAACTCACAGGCCTTCAAGGAAGTAGCTATCATAAGACATCCTCGTATCGGTGAATATGCGTTTGGGTTCATCACTTCGGCCGTAGTCCTTCA